TATATATATATATATATATATATATATATATATTACATCCGCTTAGTTCCAGAGGCAGTGGTAGGCTTCCTTTTGATTACCTGCGGTGCAATCCACGTGTATTCTACAATTTCATCTTCTACCAGTGAAGCCTCCACGCCAAGCGCGTCGCGGCGAAGCGCACCCAACCCCCCGCGGCCCTCGTCCAGGTTTTGACGAACTCCATCAACGACCTGACCGCCATGCGCACCACGTCCCCAACGTCGACTTTCATCACAGCCAACATCCCAACCCACGCTAATCACACGATCGTCAAGAAGGGTCCCATGCAGTCCCTGCACCGCCATCGCAGCCGCCGCCTGGGCCTCAAAAACGACCAAACAAAACCCGCACGGGGTGCGGGTGGTATCACTGAGGCCCATTAAAATATCCCGTATCGCCCCAAAGGGACGGAAGTGCGCGAGAAGTTGTGACTCCGAGGTGTAAAAGGAGAGATTCCCAACGTACACGGTGGTGCTGTGATTCAGGCAGACTTGGCGATGAGCCCGGAATTCGTTCTCAGGCAGCAATGACCTCAACAGCTCCCGCCGGTCGACATAGGCCATAAATGGCGTAGAATCTACAAGTAATGATGACATAGCTTATATATATATATATATATATATATATCCTTGATATACGTCTGGGAGAGATTTTTTTAATGTTTGTAGATTGAAGCAAAAATTTATTCCAAAGTTGAACATCTTTTCTCTTGTTGTGGTTGTGATTGTCGTCCAAACCATATCATTTCAAGTTCCGTTTGCAGAAATACGGCAACTTTGTAAAAGTAGCTGATTTCTTGAAAACGGTGCATGCAATGTTATATACTCACTTTGGTTAAGTTTCAGATACTTGGTCATGTAAGAACAAAGCATTCTAACATTTTTATGAGCTATATTTTTGATTGTCTAATTACACAGTAGTATTCTCAGTGTCCTTTTCAGGTTGAATCCCTCCTCTTTTCTCCAAGTACTCACGATAGCGCTGCCCTCTTACATTAGAACCGTTTTTCCCGTGTGAAGCGGTGTCGCTAGCAAGGCCTGAATTATTGATGCCATTGAATATTGGCTCCTCACCAGGTAGGACTGCTCCAACAAGCGCATATCCCAATTCAGCCTCGACAAGCTTGCGACCGTCGATCAGGCGTTGCCGCATTTCTGAGCTTTTGATATCACCAATATTGTAAACTTCGATTCCCATCAAATTGAGAATGCGCCCCATTAAATTGAAGAACACTACTGTCGCAACAAAAGGAATAAGAAGCGGAAAAAACTGGTTTACGCCCTTTCCTAATAAGATGCTGACATCCATGTTGCGTCTATACACATGACCGTACATCACATCTACACCTGTGTCGGAGTTTGACAAACCGGATATTAACAAAAAGTTGAAGGACAATGGCATCAGCAAACGGATCAAGAAGGTTTCGTTGAAACAGAGCGAGGAATTATCAGCAATTCCGGGATATATAGTGTATGCGTTGAACATCTTAAAGCGAAATACTGCCCAATAAGCACAGTACACCATGTAGAAGAGTAGTACATTACTAATAACAAAGTGCATACTGCTGTGCATCAACAACTCAATTGGCCCCAACGGCTTCGATGTAAGCTCACGAAAGGGCAAGACCATCTCGCTCCACAGAATAAGAACGGTTAATATAGTTGTTATACCGCAGCCCATTAGGTAAACATATTGACGAATGGATATCCACACTTTCTTGATCGGGTTGTTGGTATTGTCGACACCACGGATCGTAAGATCTAATAAGCGACACAAGCGTAGGGTTGATTTCCAGCGGTAATTGGCGCGATTTACCATCTTGATAGAGTATTTGAGGCGTTTGTTGAGGTCCTCCAAGTGCTGGAGTGAGACATCTGCGCGGTCCCGTGTGACAGTCTTCGGTCTGATGCGCTGCGCTGCGGTGTGGTATAAAGGGATCTCACGGTCGGCTTCAGAAATGCTCTCTAACATCTGGTGCAAATAAGACTGCTTTTCATCCATTACCAATTGGTCAACTTCGATAAGTTCGGCTTTGATAGAGCCTAGATCCATCGAGGCGAAGTCAAGTTCCTCTTGAATATCGATAACTCTGAGGAGTATGGTATATAACATCTTCCGAGGATTTGCATATCTCCAAAGTGTGCGCGGGACACCAACCAACCCGTCTGGCATGAATACAATGAGCATGAGGAGCCCCCAAGTGTTGGCCAGTGATATGGCCAAACTCAAGATATTCGATGTAGATGTGTACAGACCCTTTGAAATCATAATGTAGATAAATAAACTAATAACGATACCAGCAGCAATTAAATAAAGCTTTAAGTTAACTTTAATCGCATGTAGAATTGCCCTTTTTACCGTAAAGTCCCCGACCTCTGTATATGCTTCCGCAATAGGCAGGATGACCCAACCAAAGATATACGAGATGGCGAAAATGATAATCCAAATAACCTCCATCCACGTTTCTTTCCCGTGCTCAGGATGGTCATGTACGTCGAGAGCGGAATCTACATCAAGAGTTAGTAGTGGAAAAGGGACCATGCACGTATACAACGTGATAATATGGCAACATCTGCAGTAAATATTCATTTTCCGAGAGGAATTCTTTGTGTAATAGTGATAAACAAGCAGAGTCGCTACAAGAGCCCCTACAAAAAAAATAACTGCGGAAATTATGTATCCCTTAGACATGATGTATTGATTTTTATTCAATATTTCCTTCTCAGTACCTTGCACCAAATCTTGAAAAGATGACTTTAAAAAATATTGTACTAAAAGAAATAGCTAGTGGTTTAACACATTAAAATAACATAGTGACAACACCTATGCAGCACTCAAACTTTACAAATAGGTGCCTTAAAAAATTTTTTTTTAGGGGATGTATTCGAAATAGAATGGAAAGATATAAAATATATGCACTCAGAGACAAATAATTATTAGGTAAAAAATTATGTTAGAAATCAGATCATGACCCATGTAGAGCACCGTTTAGAATAACTTACACTCCACTATATTGAACTACAACAACAAAAAAGCCACATTGAGTAGACTTTAGTAAAAAGAAGTCATCATTCCAAAGAAAGCTTAATCACCAAATGTGGAGAGGTGGATAATGCTTACTGAAAGATAAAGAAAACTTCTCATGAAAGGTGTGTCTTAAAGATTTCAAGGTGCCTCCGCCAGTTCTATCGACACGAGGATCGAGTCCCTCTGCGCCAATACCCGTACGAGCTCAGTACGCTCTTCGCTAACTTCCATCGCTTTGAGCTGAAGTGCGATGCGATTTTTTTCAACCATTTGCTTAGTGAGCTTTTGCTGGAGTTGCGTGATCTGCGCCTTGCTCAAGGATGACTTAGCTTTCATGTTTAAGAAGGGTTCCTTTTTCTTGACTTCTTCCATCAACTTAGCCAGGTCCTGCTGAGTTTCTTTAAGCTTCTCAGGTACCTCATCATCACTTAAAGAAAGTACCGTTTTCAAGCGATCCTTCTCCTTTACCACCTCGGCGACGTCACGGTATAGTTTGCCAATCTCCTCTTCAGTGAGTTGTGAAGCCGCTGCTCCACCCTGCTTGCCTCCTTTTTTTGTGTTCATCGTACCTGGATTCAGCAACACCGCCCCACCACTCTTCAGCTTATCTTCAAATGCCTTTGAATCGACCTGGCGTGCTTTCTGGGCAAGAAGTTCTTCGTTCGCTTTCCGTTGTTGTTGCAATGATTGGTAACGTTCTTCGCTTCGCTGCCACTCCAATTCCATCTGCTTCTGAGCTTCTTCTTCGGCGATGCGTAGTCTCTCCACTTCATCCGGATCAATCTCAACGGCTTCTTCATCAGAGTCTTCATCGATCTTTGATTTATAGACCGTTGGAACCCATTTCTTAGGGCGCTTTTCCCTCTCGCGTTCTTTTTGAATAAGAATCGTTTGTTGTTCGATGAGGGCCCCCTCCATATTCTTAAGGACCTCCTCATTAAGGGACTTTGGACACTTGAAAAGGTTGGCAATGACAGTAGAAGTGATGACATCGTAAAACTTGTTATCTCGGTAGCTACGAATAAAATTGGCAGCAATATCTGCAAAAGCCAAGGCCGACGATCTGGTGGCGTTCAGTTCCGCAAGCTCAAAAGTGTAGTGGTCCCTGTTAGTGGTCATAGTTAAACAGGGTATTATGCACGCTCACCACAAATTATCAGAAGTTAAATTTCCTATTATAATATGGATATAAAAAATAAAGAATCTCTTTTCTAAACAAGAACTGCACAAGCGAAAACGAGGGGGCAATAAACGTCCATTTAGGCAAATGTTCCAAAAGAAGGTACTGTGAAAGTCAGATCACCCATTTCTCGATTTGAGTAACGCCACCAGTTTCTCCCCCAAATTTCTTTTTTCTTATTACCGCCGCATTCATTCGAATCCACAGATCGCACAGCCTGCAAGGAGACCCCGCGTTACATCCTAGAGCTCGCACTCCTCCCTCTCCCCCCCCCCAATCCACAGATCGCACAGCCTGCAAGGAGACCCCGCATTACATCCTAGAGCTTCCGCCCTTGTGGTTGCCTGGGGTGGTCCCCTGGCGGCGGCGAGGCCGTGTGGTTCTTGGGCACCATGCGGTAGCCCACGGCGACGGTCGCTCCCACCGCGTTATCCTGGACGCGGACGTACTCCTGGGGTGCCCTCGGCGCGCCCGCGGTCAACGGCACCGCTGGGACGTAGGCCTGGGGCCGGAAGGGCATGGGAGTGAGGGTGACCTTCGGCCCGGGCCGTGCCGTCTTCGCTGGGACGGGCCCTGCCGGGGAAGGCGCCGCCTTGGGCCCCTCGGCCCCCTCTACGGCGACGCTCGCCAAGTGCGGGACGATGCCCCAGAGGGGACGGCCTGAGACCTCGTCCGTGGCGGCTTCGTCCATGACGCCCGGGAAGAGAAAGGTGTTGCCCTCACCGCGAGGGGGCTCACCCCACTGACCATGGCCCCGTCCCCACTGCGCACCTGGCGGGATTGGCGCGTTCAGGCCGGGGATCCGTAGCTGGGGGTAGGCCGGTGGAAGTCGCCGCATCTCTTGCATGCTGTGTAGCCACGGTGGTGGGGCGTTGGGGGCCATTCCTAGCGCATTCCGCAGGCGCTCCGACAGTTTCCCTGGCTCGAATTTAGCCTTGGGAATCCATTTACCTTCATAAAAAATATCACCAAAAGGTGAGAGATGGGTGTCAAACCGCTTAAGCTGCAGAGGCGTTCCGGTAAGGAAGCAAGTCATGAAGGCAATCTGGTCTGGGTTCGCGCGCTTGTCCTTGGTTGCGCGAAGCTTATCCACACCCAGGGCTTGAATTTCTGGGGGAATAATGTCTACTGCTTCCTCGCGATCGGCTTGCAGACTCATATAAGCGCGTAGTGTACTCCAATGGCTTGGAACCGCCACCGTTTGCCGCTGCATCTTCATCAAAATCGTAAAAAAGGGATCCTCAGCATTGCCATCATGTTCTTCTACTAAATCTGAGGCTTCAGGGCCGTACTGAGCGGCTACTGCAAGCTTCAATGCTTGCCAGGACATTTTATTTTGCTTTCGTCCAGAAGCTTTCATGGATAACCTCTTTTTAGATGCAGCTGTGGCGACAGGGAGCGCAGGAAGCTCTACTCGGTCCTCGTCTTTCTTTTCCTCAGAGTTGGGGTCACTTACCGCTTCTACTTGTGCGATGGATGCGGCTTCGTTCTCGTCAAGGGTGTCATTGTCCTCTTCCGGAGGTAATACATATACCACATCTTCTTCAGGCTTCAGCGACTCTGCGAGTAGCCTGCTCTGGATGAGCGAAGCTTCCACATGAAGGCGATTGCGCTTCTCTCTTCTGACTTTTTTCCTTTCAGTCTTTGTTTTAGTCATGTCGGTAATAAAACTACTATTTACTCCTTTTCATTCAGAAAATAGTCCTTCATATACGGAATGAAATGATATATGAATTTTAATACCATGACAAATAATAACTCCAACTTTCATGCACGACAGATTATGCGCAAAACATTGTATATTGCATTAGTATATACACAGACACAAGTAAATATCTGTGAGGGATTCAGATAACACACGATATATTATTCAAACAAAAAAAATATTAACTACGCATACTAGGTGTTCCAGGAACTTGTCTTTTTCTATTTCCTTTTACTACTAACTACCACAGTACTACAATAAAAAAAATATCAAGGCCATGGAACCATACAGGGCTTTCGACTCAGAAATTAAGTGCAATGAAATGAAAAGAATAGAAAAAGATAAAAAGCACTTTCCTGAAATCCCTTACAGAGGGATGAACTTCTTTCTTCTAGACTCAGCTGTGTACCTACAATTTTCAGTTTGTTCAATAACTCTCTGAAGGTTAAATTTTGTGAGCGCAGAGGTTAGTGGCACTCAGTTTGCATTTTGCATAACCTGCGTCTTAACTATACAAAAGTGATTTGCATGTACTGAACACAGAATACGATCCTGATTATGTACTTCGTGGAATTTTCAAATTAACAAGAAGTACTTCGAAAATAGGCAATAAAAAATACTCATCCTCGACCCTTCCTTTTTTTTCGCGTGAAGGGAGCTCAATATAATTGAGTTTCTTTAAGTGTTAATTTTCCATCAATGTCCATAATTGCCTCACGGCTGGTGCTGCAGAATCCTTTTTCATCCACCATCTCCGTCATGAGCCCGGCGTTGTTGTAGTATCCCGGCGTAATGTGTGGCCCCTTGAGCTTCAAGTTTCCTCGTTGACCGGTGGACAGAATTTTAGCATCGCCCGTCCCGCGGTCACCGACGACCTTTACTTCGACATGCGGCACCATTCCCAAAGAGCCCTTACGTAGGGACAACCATGACAACATAAAGCTTGTCTCCAACGGTCCACGGAAGACGAAGACATCGTCAAGGTATAAATTCTGAGCAAGCTTCTGGATATATTCCATCGACGTCGGCTGGTCAACGGCGTTTTCAAAGAGCACGACGTACTTCAAGTGCTCAAACTGGTCGACATCAAAGTTCCCAGCGTGCTTAAGAAGGAGATCAAAGTCCGCTTTATCACCTAGTAGCGTCTCGATTTCTTCAACACAGAGCTTTTCAATCGCGTTTATAGCGTGGTCGTCTGTGAACAAGTCCGAGTGAATTTGGATAAGCACCGCACCGGATGTAATAGCTGCATAAGGGGCAATAATTGCACCGATAGGGTTTGTATGGTGATTGGGCATGACCCCAAAGCGTGTCTCTGCCTTGAAGTTCATTAGTTGGCTGAAAAGAAACCCAGCGTTCACACAATTTCGATGAGAGAAGGTGATATGTAGTTTATCTTCCACTGCGGGATTAGGGTCCTCCAGGGCCAGAACTGGATCATCCGGGTGCAAAAGAGCTGAGAGCCGTCGGAGTCGCTGTTCGTAATAGGAAAAGGGGCCCCAGACCAAAATCTTTCGCATTGGAGTGACACCGAGAAGGTTCATGTTATGATCGGTGATGATAACTTTCTTGAGATAAAAAAACTCTTGTGAGTGCACCCATTGGAACTTCTGCCCGGGGTAGGACAAACCCAGATCCGGGATGACGTTGTAGATCGTATCCCAAAAGTGCATATTCCGCTCCACCAGCTCACCATGCTTGAGCTCCGGTACATTAATCCACTCCCGGGCAACAAGGTGGCGTGGCTGGAACTCGTTCAAGTAGAAACGAAGCTTATCGGCGCTGATGGTTTTGTGAGGTACGATGCAGGCCAAGGCCCCGATCTTCGAGCAGGCGAGCTGTAGTACGAGCGTCTCGCAATTGCAGGGCTGGATTATCAAGATGCGGTCCCCAGGCCTCACACCGGTCTGCAGCAAACCATGCGCAAGTGCCTCGCTGTTTTTTCGAATGTCGGCGAAAGCCCAACGCACCGCCTGGTGCTCGATCCGAAGAAAGTCCTTGTAGTACATCTTGCGAGACTGTATGTTTATATAGTAGCCTATGAGCTGATCCAGAACTGGGGTGTCGGAGACTCCTTTGATTTCCGAATATGCGGGTTGGTAGGGCCCGGATGAAGCTGCGGTGGCGGCTGAGGGTGCGGAAGGTACTCTTTCACCTGAGGCCGTCACCCCAGCGAAGCGAACCCCTGACGTTGTTCTAAGCAGGTTACGAGTAAAATACCTTAACATGATATATGCCTCTAGAAATAGTTAAAATAGTCCTTTTTCTAAGATTATCTTTTGTTCGTTACTCTTTTTTTTACTACACCTAACGAGATGCTACACTTTTTGATCTATAATACTTGATAATAATCAATACTATCCCCTACAATATAGCAACAGCAAAAAATGTTGCTACCAGTAGTCTACACATTCTTTATTTTCAGAGTAAAAACAGGTCGTGAAAGGAGGCATTAAGAAGCTCATAGCATATATAATAATAATAGTCATCAGTGACACTTCTTTCAATTATCATCACTACCAATGTGACTTTTTAGTGAGTACTTTGAATACCCTAGTGGTGACTTGTTCGTCACTGTTTCTTTTCATTTTTCAACTGAAAAAGAAGGCAAAGTAATGACAATACAGTCAATGAATAACTTTGCTATATTCATACACACAACTAATTTTCACTACACATGAAAGAGTCTATCCCCTAGCCCATTTTTTTTTCAATCTATTCAGTGATACAACCAATATCGCGTATATAGTGGAATTCCAAGTTAATGCATAATCAGTTATTACATTATGCGGATCCGGAACGAATGATTTCGATAAGTGAAGTAATTCGTCCTTCTTTGAGAGCATTCCGACACAATGCAATTACTATAGCTTTATCCGGTCCTAAGCGTAGTTTTCCTGCTCGTTGAATAAATAAATTGACCTCATTTAAGGCTGCCTTGAGTTCTCTGTAGTTGTTTAGACGTTTTGCGTTTTCATCTAGAAGCTCGCTATTTACGCTGAAGAGAGAAGTGTAGGCCTTTTTCATGTTTACCATATCGCTCAGCAATCGTGCGTCCTCAGCTCGCACTAAGAGCGTCTTTAAGGTGGTGGCCGCGTTAGCCATGTCCGCGGCCAGCTTCATACGGGCAGCGTCGAATGCTTCAACTCGCAGGAGCTCCTCCCTCAACTGTTTTAGCTCATGCGGGAAGTCGCAGTGGATTGTAATCGGATAGGCATCTTGTTCGGCAACCCCACCCACCACATCCGCACCTAACGACGTGACCACATCGGCGCAGCACTCCATAGAGTTCGTGCGTACGGTAATAGTTTTGAGTCCTTCCTCAGGGTTGTTTATTTCGATCGCCAATGAAGCATCGCCGCGCGCGCTCACTAGATCGGCACGAAGTGCCGATTTCAAAGAGCTATCAGTGTCGTATAAGACAAACTTCTCAGGAATACTAAAGTTCTCGCGCAGCCACGTCTCCAGTGCGTCCATTCGCAAATTTTCGCGATAGGACAGCTCCACGTAGCCCAAAGGCAACGAAGAAAGTTGGCCTGAGGAGTCTTTCTCTGACTGTAATGAGCGCGGCTGATACGCAACAAAAGGAGGAATTCTAAAGGACAGCTCGTGAACTTGATAGTTTCCGGCGAACGCGCTACCCACCGCGACGTGTGCCGTGACTACCGTGGCAACACTTTTAATGTATTCCACTGGACAGATCAAACTGCTGGCAGGGCTGTCCGCGTAGAAGCAAACGACGTCACTTCCCTCCTTAGAGAGATTCGTGTTGTTGGTACTCAGGACACAGCTCTGGATAACGGCGTCCTCGAGGGCATTCTGAAGGCTGAAGATAATCTCCAACATTTTACCTCCCCACCGATAGCGCGCCACGTGGACGACTCGTAGTCCCGCTACTGGAAGCGTTAGATCCTGCTCACCTTTTTGTTTGAGTAGGAGCTGTTCCTCGATGCCTAAAAGCTGGGCCTCGAGGAGCCGCTGTTGTTGCACCAACGACGCAAGCATCTGCGCGTTTTTCACCTCGTTGGCCTCCCCCAGCATGGACGTCGGCAGCGTCAGTCCCCGCACAACACCATCCACTGTGCACACTAAAGGAATGGGTCTACCATCCTGTCGATAGTCCTCAGAGAGAACCGCGGCAACAGGGGCGGTATATGTGCCGCGGTAGAGTACCTCCCCCCCCCTGTTCCCTCCCCCCGTCCGAACATCCCCCCGCACCTCCACGCGGCCGCTGTCGTAGCCAATCACCAGCTCCTCCACACCATCCTCGTCCACATCGCAAAAGGTGGCCGACACTGGGGTGTGCTTGCTTTTAATCCGCCATAGCCGTTGGGTTTGTTGATAGACCCCAACCGTGCCGTTGTCGAGGAGGTAGGCAAAGCGCCCCATGGAAGGGGGATCGGTGCCATTTCTGGGGCCCGTTGACGAGATGAGCTGCCGAACCCGGCCCACCTCGAGGAGGCTCGCGATGACCTCTTCGCCGTGAAAGACACGGATTTCGTGATCGTCCGAGGCAGCGAGGAGGGCACGGCTTTCTCCCCACCTCAACAGCGCCATGGCGCTGACCTCCTCCCCGGTGACCGCCCAGAACCTTTCATCGCCATGCCGATCAAAGCCGTACACGCTGCAGTTGGAGCCCACCAGGGCCAGGACCTCCGCGGTGGGGCCCACTGCCCCGCAGACGACCGCCCGCGCGCCGTCGTCGAGGTCTTTGTGAAAAACCTCCCGGTCGTAGGCCGCGTCGTAGGTCAACAGGCTGCTCGCGGCGGTAAAGAGGAGGCTGTCCTGTTGGGGGTTTGCGTCATCGGCGAGGTCCCTTTCCTCCCCCAAGGGCCCGGCCGCGAGCGCCGTGGGGTCCTTTCCGAAGTTCAGGACGAGCAGGGCGCCCTCGGTGGTGGGGGTCGCCGCGGTTGGGGGAGGGGGGGGGGGTAAAGGGGCTCCCCACGCCTGGCCGATCGTTTGGCCGCAGCG